AGTAAAAATGGGCTTTTCTCTGCAACCTGTCTGTGAAAGGTTGTGATGTAAACCTTCCGGCAGTCACTGCAATGCAATAAAGTGATAGCCCTTCTTAAGTTCGGAGACTGGAGGAGGTCCAGGTTGCTTTCCATTCGGCAGAGTCGCTAGCAGGAGGCGGCAGCCCAAGCATGGGCCTTGGGCCACCGTGCCCCCGTGCCAGCCTGGAGGAGAGCGCTGAGCTGCGGCTGCTCATCTGTATAACCCGTTACAGCTGCTGCTTGTGGTCTGCTTGCCTTTCTGCCCCCAGCTTGTATGTGGGGTCCCCACGGAGGTGAAGCGTGGAAAGGGAACTGATCCTTTGGCAAGGTGGGAACGGGGATCTCGGCAGGCTGCCTTCCCCGTGGCGTTATGCTGGCAGCATCTGCAACGCATGTTTGAGAATTCTCAGGGCTGATGAGTTTCAAAAGATACAAGGCCATGAAAAAAGTATGTGTTTCTGTTTGCCTAAGTTTAATGAGCCCTTACTAGAGGTTTGATGGGTAGACTCCGACCTGTTGCTCTTCAAGTGTCAGGTGTGTTTGAACTTTAAGTGAAACATTAGCTAACACATGTCTGGATTTTTTCCTTCAAGAGGCCCTGAGTCTCCAAATATTTTCTGGGATGTGAGTCCTTTACTTGGGTTTTTCATTACTAGATTTTGACAACTTTTCCCTGTGACACTTTTAATGTCTTAAAGCAAATAGCAAGGCTGGATTCAGCCCATCGTGTGAGCAGGAGAACGTGTCTGTATCCCCTGGAGCTAGCTGCCCTCCTGGGGGAGGACTTAAAATGTAAGGGACACGTTTGCTAAAATGAACTGCTAGCAAGTGGAGATGTTCTGTTCTCTGCTATGGGGACATGAAGAGGAGTGTGTGTCAAGTCTCAAACTGGTGCACTTGAGGAAGAAGAACGGTTAACAAACTGCTTGTTTTTCCCCTGCCCCCTTTTTTTGCGACACCTTTTAAAATTAAGTAGGGAAGATAAACTGCTGGAAGCTAAACTTGCTCACTTCAAGTGAAAAAGGGAAAGGCAACATCTGCATCCTAAAGGGACTGAAATCACTAGCTGTATTAGAAGTAAAATTGTGTTTAGGTGGGTACACTCAAACAGTAGGATCTCTTTTTCCCGACTGCAAAATTCGGAGGATTTCATCAAGAGAAACAATTGTACAGTGAAGCTGATTAGACACAGCTGTCAAATCCACTAAGTAAGCACTTTTAAAAGTTAATGAAAAATTATCTTTTTTTTCATTTTGCATATGTGTTTGGAAAAGAGAGGAACTTACCGGTTGGTATAGTGGAAGGGATAAGACATAAAATGACACATTTCTATATTTTGTTTATTACTTATTACGAATTCACTAAATCTAAAAGATGCTGCTGGACACTGTCCAGCTCTGCTCCATCCCTGTGTGCATGGACGCTTGGCAGAGTCTCCTGTAAACAGGATGTGGAGCTGTTGGAGCCCTGTTTAACTGCAGTTGTCGGCGTTTTGGAAAGTGTACGGACAAATTCTAGCTGCTTGTATCGCATGTGTACATGTGTGCAACCTTCTTCCTTCTCTCCTGAGATGCTATTAACTTAGTCTCTTTGAACTTGATCCCAAAGACCAAATATTCTGGGTTAAACACAGCTTTTTTGCCATTACTGTGTTACTTTTCCTGTGACATTAATGTTGAATTGTTTGGAATAGCCTTAGAGCTGACTAGTTACTCTGTTCCTTGGTAGCGCTATATGAACAAGGCATTAATGATGCCTTACTATGGATGTTACTCTGCTTTTGAAAAAACAAGCCATGTTCTGATACAGAGTTGAGACGCAGACCCTGGCGTGTAAACCCTCCTGAAATGGAGACATGCTTCAGTGGAGAAACTCTAAATGGAATGCTTCAATGGTCTTTTCCCAAGTGAATAAATATTGCCTCTTACTTTGTTTCAAGAAACATGGCATACAGCTACTCTTTACTCCTTGTTGTAAAATAGTGGGCCATTTACTGACTGAAGCAAGCTATTGGCATTATTACGGGCAGCTGCTGAACTTAAACAACTCATAAATGTTAAATCATGTTGCAGTTTTGTTAGAGCTGGTCTGCATATCCCAGAGGCACTAGCTAATATGTCACACTGTTTCCACGTGAGCTGATGACATTTCTTAGCAGAAATTCCAAATAGTAACTTCATAATTCAGTAGTTTTACTGTGGTGGCTGAAGGTTCTTCAAAACTGTACTTTTAATTACAGCTTCACTATTGCTAGCATAGCTTTATTTAGATGTGTGTCAGTAGGCTCAAAGCTGCTGAACATGTGGTGGAATGAGCACACAGTCGAAGGGAGTATGCTGTCTGCTTACTGACCTGTTGTTTGGAGATCTGTGACAAAGTCAAATCCAAATCTAAACTGAACAAAATCTGTTCAGTTTATCCTGTGCTTGGATTTAAAGTTGCTTTCATGTTGAGGTGGTTTTGCTGCTATACAAGTGTGAAAAGTTTACAGGAATTGTAAGGGTTGCTGTAGAAATGTGTTATCTGCATAATAAGCAGTTAAATAATGTGCTGTGGCCTTTTAATAGTCCCTCCTACTCTTCAGCCAGTGGGAATGTGTTCTTAAAAACAAGACAAAGCTCCCAAACAAACTAATCCTTTCCTTCCTTCAGGTCACATTCTGCTAGTGTTCTCTGTAGAAAACACTGGTAAAGTCCTAGAACCTGGTTTTGAGCCTGTCAATGATTGTAAATATAGCACTAAGGAAAATATAGATAATGAAGTAAAAGCTGCTGTATTATTGCAGGAGCTTAACTTTTTTATTTTAATCATTGTGAAGGTCAGAAAGAGAACAGTATTGTTGCTGGTACTTGCCATATAGAGAAATTATGCTTACTGCATCTAAAATTCATTCTCTCATCCTTTTATGTGAGCATGCCGTGGAACAGCTTCTCTCTAGAGCAGTGGTATATGTTCACCAGAACTGCACATTGTGCCTAGAGGCTATACTCCCTACCAAACTAGTCAGAAGTGCAGCTAGTCTAGGCTTCTGGTATCAGCCTGTGAACACAGGTTAACCTAAGTGCAACGTGACCGTTCCTGTACAAAGCTCTATTCTCTCTGCTGTGTATTTGAATGGTGCTTTGGTTCTGTGCGTGTATGCTGTTCCTCTTCAGGGTTCTCTCCTGGCCACTTGCGTGGGAGTTTCTGTGCCTGAAGAGATGTGCAGGACAGGGACAAGCATTGTGGACTGATGCTAAACAGATCTTGCCCTCTAAGGTGGGAGTCCCAACTTGAGCTGGAACCTCCTGGGCTTTAGAAGATAGACTTCATGCAAGAAAGTATGGTTTAGAGTGTGGGAGATTGTAAACAGGACTGTTTTCTTGTGGTGGTTAAAGTATCAAACCAAAGACATGTAAGGCTAACACTACAACATACAGAAATCTGTGAGCAAGGGTTTGATCTCAAAACACTCATCTTATTTCCAAGGACAGGAGTAATTGTCACTCTTCTTCAAGTGGGTGAATGTGAGAATTTGTTTCTGGACTTGATCCTAAAAGCCCGGAGAAAGATTGGATAGTACACTATCTAGTACATTTCTGGCTAGAAATGAAACAGAAAACTCACTGGGAAAGTAGAGGGGAGTCCAGATTGTGTGTGTGTTTGTGCGTGTGGTTAAATTATAACTGCATGACTGATGCTTTGGGAAAGGCATATTGTAAAAAGAATTTTGGAATTTTTAAAAACTTTTGAGCTCATTTATTTGTAAAGAAGTGGTGTACTTTGTTACAGGTAGTATGACCTTATTAACTATCAGTTCTGGTCACATGTTTTTCAGTGGTTTTCAATGGGTTTCTAGTTCTTTTATTTTCTTTCTTTCCCTTCCTCTCCAAAAGGTCCACCTAAAAATTCTACTGTTACCCTTTAATTCTGTCCCATCTACATGCATGTCTCATGCAGCAGGTCAAGACAGCTTGCTGAGATTAGATACAACTTCAGATATCCAGACTGATACTTAATTAAGTAGTACTTAAGTAAGAAAGAAGAAAAATTCCAAACTAATTTAATATCTCAGTGATGACTGTGTGCCTTGTTTTGTGTCTGCAAGTAACTTTCTTGTGCTGCAGTCTTAAACTGACAGAATGGAAGCATACTCAAATGACTGAGTTCAAGAAATGTGTTATGAAAATGGTGACCTGACTTTTGGTTCCCTTCAAAATTCTGATCTGGAAATACCTTATTGTGGCTGCACTCCAAGTTAAAACTTAGTTTTTTTTCAGTTGCATATATTTTGGCTTTGGTGTGAAGTGGATGCTGATGAAAAGCATAAATGACTTGATGAAAGTTGTCTGACACATGTAGAAAGCTGTGTATCTGACAAATCTTGGCTAATACTATAGCCCTAAGGCTGATCTTGGCGATCAGTCTCTGGACCAAAAAATAAGATGGACAAAGAAATGAATCCTCCTGAGTAAGAAGCTTTCCTTGTTTTTGTTTGATAGTTCTGTAACTCTGTTGAAAAGTGTGAATGGATGTCCTAAATGTTCCAAATCTCTGCTTGTTCCAAGTCTCTGAGCTAAGGAATAAATTGATCTTAAATGTGATCTTAAACATACATTCAAGGATTTGACTTTGGATTTGTAGAAGATTTCAAGAAAGCAATAGTTAAAGGAGCTGGCAGAACTCAGAAGCAATGTATGGTGTACACTGTAAATCGTTTCTTTGCAACTGTACAGTTTGAAACCCAAGTAGGCAGTGAACAGCCAAAGAAGTGCTTGCCTATCCGGATAGGGAGGTACCTCACCAGTACCATCTTTCATATTACTTGTGTGACTCATAAGCAGGAAGAGACACTCAAGTTTATTAGGGATTAACTCATGTGTTTAGTAGATAATTTGTGTGAGGAGAAGGAAAGCGCTGAAGAACTGAAATATTAAAAGCTGTCAAAAGTACTAATCGGTCCCCCCCCCCGCCCCCCCTTCCTCTCTTGCAGACCTTCAAGTGCTGGCCTTCGTGGTCTATTAAGTTATTATAAACTTTTGCTGCTCTGCGAACATATAAAGATGTCTCGCAGCCCTGATGCTAAGGAAGACCCTGTGGAATGCCCCCTTTGCATGGAGCCTCTGGAAATTGATGACATCAACTTCTTCCCTTGCACCTGTGGCTACCAAATCTGTCGTTTCTGTTGGCATCGTATCCGCACTGATGAGAATGGACTTTGTCCTGCTTGCAGAAAGGTAAATATCCTGGAACAGCGGCTTGTCTTGCAAATATCACAAGGCTCTTGCATTGTGTGGGTACCAAAGACATCCTTTTCCTTCGGGGAGACATTCGTCTAGTCATGGCCTAGATCGAGGGTGAGGTGTTGGATCTTTCAGATTCTATCTGCATATGTGTCGAAGCTGTAGTGCAACGACTAGTCTTGGTTTGTTAAATTCAGAACTGGATTAATAGGGGAAGCTGTGGATCAGAACCAAGGTGTACTGATGCTGGGAGAACTGCCAAAAAAAAAATAAATCCTTTTGAGTTGGGGTGCTCATGCATTGACAAAGTCTTTACAGGAAGGACAGTAAGGATTCCGGCATCAGGGGTTTGCTAAGGGCCAAGGTTCAGCTAAACTAGCAGAGCTGTCTGAGGCAAGCTTATAAAGCACCTGCTTGTTTTGTTTGTGGCACTGGAGCTTTTAATCTGTATTTTTCTGGACGCTAAACATGTAAAACCTTTGGAAAATATATTAAGTGGTGTTAAAATTTTAAAGCATTTCAAAATCTAGGCTAAGTCTGTCTGTCTAGTATTCCCATCTTGTTGTCAAATGCTTAAAGGTAGTACTTTGAGAGTCGTGCTTAATTTCTCCCTGTCTCTTAATTGATGCTTGGCTGACACTTTTGTTGGCCACAACTATAAACTCCAGCTTCACTAAGTTGTGTGCTTTTCCCTTTAAATTATTTTCCTCCTCCTTTTAGTATTTTGCTTAACCTCATTATTTCCGTATCTTCAGTGTTTAATAAAATTCTTTCTCAATAGCTTCTTCTCTTTAACGACTTCTCTTGATTGTAACTTTCTTGCCTGGCTGTCATCTTTTTGTAATCACAGCTACTTATGTCCCCTCTTTTTCATGCTACTTAATCGTGATCCTATCCTCAGTTTTTGCCTTTGTTGGCTTCCTGTCTTGTATTACAGCTCCCTTTTCGGACCCCAAGTAATCTTGGTCTCACTATCTTTATTCACTGCCAGAGCTTTCTATAAGCACTTCCAGTCATATTTTCTTGCTGCTCTTTGGCTTTGGCTACACTAGAGCTGTCAGTGCTAACCTATGTTTGGATGCCGCTGCAAGCCTGAAGGCTATCCCACAGCAACATAAGTTTGTTAACAAATTGTGCAAACTTGCTGTGATATTTGAGCTGTATGTTCTATGAGGAAGATCCACCCATCATCTGCCAAATCAGTCTCTGCATGTGATACCTGCCATAGATGACACATGCTGTGTAGTAGTTTTCATAGTACAAGCAAATTTCTACTTTTCTGGTACGACACAAGATTTCTGGGTTTTCCTTGTCTGTGTAACTTCCTTCGTTTACCTGGATTTATTACACTACTTCTTGCCAACAACTATTTGATTCATCTCTGCTGCTCATTATTGGAAGTTTGTGGAATATATCTGAAAAAATCACAGAAGCAGCATGCTATTCACTGCTTCTGGGTGTCTGAATTCTTTGAAATATGGATAATGCCACAGCTGAACTTCTTAATGTGGAATCATCTGGCCTGTGAGTGGATGTGCAAATGTTTTGCCGAATTGGATACAGTTTGCTCCGAAAAACAGTTTCGGGAGGAAAGCTAGAATGAGTGCTACAATCAGAATGAAGCGTACTGACCCTTCCAGGAGAGGAAGGAGACCTCTTCTTTCACAATGGATGATACAATTCAGAATACACAAGTATGTTCTTGATACCTTCTTCGTCCTTGGATTGCAAGATGTTCTTGAGTGGGGTTGCAGCTATATCACTGGATTGTAGGAGACTTGCATGGAGGAGTTTTTTTCGTGGCATAGACAAAGACATTGTGGCACAGAGACTGCATCAGGGTCTTGGGAATAAATCATTTCGAGCTACACGTTTGATGGCAGCATCAAATAAGTCTGAAGAAGCCAGCTTTTGAAGTGTGCTGGGCCTTCCAAACCAGGTATGTGCAGTGTGTCTAAAGATTTCCTGTCTGTGTGTAGTAAGGTTTCTGGGGAAGAGATCTAAGTAGTTTTCAAATTCACATCTACTATGGTGTGCATTGGTTGTGACCACTTAAATGCTGAAGGGCAGGAAATGGCAAAGCAACAGAGTTTTTACAGGAAAGTTGATAGTAGGTACTATGGTTTCAACAGCTACATCATGTTTATAATGTGTATACCAATGCAGGATACTTACTGCAAAATGGACCATGAGTAAACATTATTATGTAATTGTGCGTAACATACATAATATGAAAACTGCAATTTGTGCCGATGGTATTAAATGCAGTGTGAATTATCCAGTGGTTTGATCACTAGTCTGTGGAGGGAGCAATGAAGAAGTTCCCTAGCTAGGGATTTTTGTTGAAAGGTTTGGGGGAGATTTTGGAAGTCTGTGATAAAATAGTTTTGCTATACACTATAGTGGTGCCTATGCCATTAGTTTGATAGATCTTAACTGTGCATTGCATGTATACCATTATTTTCCTAAGCTTCTCTAATTTACTTCTAACTGAAAAGATGTTAGCTTGCAATTTTTTCTACCAAGGAGAAAATACTTCTACATACTTGATCTGTTGCATAGCTTGACATTTGCACGTGCAGAGTATGTTCACGTGGTTGCAGTCAATTGAGTTAGTGTCTTAAGTTTCATCCTGTTAGTAACAGCAGTAGACAAACATTTGCTCTGTTTTGATTTGTGAAAGTAAGCTGCTGGCATGAATTTAACTTGAATGTTTGTTGGAAAGTAGTACTTGTTAGTCTTAACACATTAAAAGCTTTCTAAACTTTGTCCGAATCTTCTGAAATAGACTTGGAAATTTTTTCTTTTTAATTCATTAATTACAAAAAGTACTTCTTTAAAAAATAGAACTGACGTACTTTGAGTTCCTGATGCCCTTCAGAATTGTAGGTGTACGCAATTGTAAGATGCTAAGCAAGCCTTCCTCTTTTTTCCAGTCAACTGATTTTGTAACTGTGAGTGAATTAGCTGGTAACTAGTCAAATTAGACTGAAAATATGCTATCCTCAAAAGAGACTTCTGTAGCCAAAAGCTGGTTTACAGGTCACCAGAGTCACTGGTTCTGGTTGTAAAGCCAATGATTTTTACCTTTGCAGTGGTTTTTTTTCAGTGTCAGTTGTTGCAATTTTTAAATCCAACAATAAAAAGGCCTAACTCCTTCACATTTCTTAATTGCTCTGCCCTTCCATCAAATAATATAACTTTATACACCACTGCTCCTGTGGTGTGGCTTTGCCTTGTTCTCCAGTTCCCTGACTTAGTGAGCTTTAGTCCTCCTAGCACCTTGTATTAGAGATGGAGAGAAATGATAAACTGCTACATTTATGACCAAGAAACTAACGTGTTTTAAGCATGTTTTTGTCCATGTTTCTCCTACTGTTGCTTCTGTGTAAAAGGAACACGTGGTCTTAATGCACAGTCTCCAAATGTCAGTTGTTTCCCCTGGTGCTTTTAATCCAACAACTGAGTAGTTTGGTGCAGCAATTGATATTTAGGAATACATAGGGAATTGCTATTCTTTTATTCTTGGTGTGAGTAGTATGGTGTATACTATGCATAAACCTTATTGACTTTCTCTGTTTCTCATTTCAGAACCTATTCGATAGCAAGGCAACAACTGGGAAATGTTCATATATCCATTGTGTGGAAGGAATGTGACCCATCTGGGAATGACAAAAGCAAAGTGCTTGATAAATCCCAGCTCAACTTTCAACCATTGGGAAAATGTGGGGAAAAAAAGTCTGAAAGAAAACAAAACTTAAATGGCAAGACAAACTTAGTCAGGAAGATTGAGAATTCATTAAGGGCCATCTCTGATTTAAGAAACAAGACTACAGAAGAGACATTTGAACTTTCGATGAAGTTCTTGTAGGACTACTAGCAGCTTGCAGTTAGTGTGAACAAAATCTGGTCATTTTCCATGTTAGCATATCTTGTTCAGGTGGCTTTCATGTTTTTTGCTGAAGAGGATTTGTATAACTTAAGTGGAAGGTGTCAGCTGAACTTAGCGAATTGGTGACATCTCTTAATGTCTTGCATCCGAAAATAATGTAAATGCTGATAACAGTTGATGTAGCTGATTTGCTTGGATCTCAAATCCTCTATGAGCTGAGAAATCAGTGATAGTAAGTTAAAGAAGTATCTTACGTTTCTTGCAAGACAGACAAAAAAAAGTGATCATGTCAGTAGCATTGCCACTGTAGCTGTTGCAAGTCCTGAGAGCCTCTGGTACCTTTGGTCCTACCCGTGTTTTGTAGGGTTGGACAGAGAGTAAACAGATGAAACGGTACTGTGAGATATACCAGCAGTCAACCCACCTTGCTTGGTTTTCAGAGCCATGTGCCACCAGTCTTTCCTGCGTGCGTTTTGTTTGTAGTTGAACTATCATCTGAATTAATGAACTTCAACACTGTGGGAAGCAGTCACTCTGAAGATGAAATCATTTATTGTCCTCTTTGTAGACTGACTTTATGCCCTTATTTCAAAGGAACAGGATTTCTAATTCTTACTGTTTTTTAGAATTAGCTTCTGAAATGTTTGTGCTGTGCTTTGCTTGCCTTCCTCCCACCTTAAATGTGCACTATATCTTATCTGTCATCATGCCACACATTATATATAGATAGGAAAATCTATCACTTCTTAGGATTGAGTTTCTGATTTATTCTTGGGATTCAAGAGGTGCACGCAGATTCATTTACAGGTCCTGCAAGTCAGGATATCCAACTACTCATATTCCTTAGAAGCATTAAAAGTGTCATAAGAGTGGTAAACATATATATGAAATGTTTCATATATAGTACAGCTCTACAGTATCTAGCAAGAGATTTTTGATGATCGTGTTGCTCAAACAAGTGCTGTTATCCATGGTGGCAGATCAACTGCTGCTACTTCTTAACAACTGGAATCCTTGTTCAGGAAGTCTCGTACTTTCTGCTGGGATGGAAGACATTTCTCGTCCCTGATTCTGAAGTTGCTGTTCAGTTGTGTGCCTCCCAGCAGTTCTGATGCTCTCTTGTAGAAATACAAACTGTTAGTTTTGCTATGGACAAATAAATATTCTGCTCAGGGTTATGGTTGAGCTACCTGGGATGTTTCCTGACTAATGTTCAGGACCTCCAGTAGCAAATAGCTGTGTGGAGAAGGAACATATTGTCTGACTTGCTTCTCCTTTGAGAATGTGCTCTAAGTGTGGCTATACTTGGCAAGAAAGAAGCTGGTGAACTTTGGCACTGTTTGCTGTAGTCTTCTTGGACCTTCAGGAGCCTTACTGAGCCTACTGAAAACCATCAATTCATTTCTTGCACAGTACCAGAGAGCAGCACACTCACAAGCCTTACCTTGCATAGTATGGGATGTGGAGAAGGAATTAATCTGTGAAAGGATGGATTGAGGGTATGATACCACATCACTTGATGTGGGGCAAGCCATTTTATTTTTGGATCTATATCTGCCTGATACTGATGCACTTGTTTTCTTCCAGTTCCTACCTGAACTCAGCTTGACTGTGGTAACTGAATTAACTGTCTCTTTGCCAAGCAGTCTTTCTCTTCCCTAAAAGAAAACAATATCAGTTCTTCTACATGATTGACTAACACAGGCTTTGAGAAGCTCTTGAAATAAGTGAAGTGCCTTGCAGGATTATTCTGCATCTCTGAAGTCCTCATGTGTAAATATGAGAAAACTCAAGATAATCATTGGCTATAGCTAATCTCAAATGACCTTACTAACAGGTCACTGCTGTTCATCAGGTACACTGTGAAATCTGTATGATGTATTCAGTGTTACTTGTGAACAACAACTTTTTAAGAAATGATACGATTTTAACTGTTCTTCAAGGGTAACATGAGTCCTTATTGTGTTTTCATGTTAAGGACTTAGTTGTGCACCTTTGGCTACTGTTAAAGTATCTTACAAGTTTAAATCCCTATGGGAGTCTAAGAACGTGTTCCAGAGGACTTGGTGTTTAACCATGAGATACCATCTGCTGAAGTCGACTGCAGCATGTTTTCAGAAGCTGTCTCAAGTATAACATAACGATGCTGAACTTTAAACTCTTTACACTGTAAAATGGATCATACTTTGTTTGGGGATGTACTTGGGAGACTATCAGGCCTGAGCACATGGTGCCTCTTTCAGTATCATCATGCAAGTATGAAGAATATATGCTTTTAACCTAAACCTTGTTTTCATCTGCTGCTGTAGATTTTTCTCAGGTCATTTAGTTTGACAACTGGTTTTGTATTCTGCCATTAACAGAGGACAGTCAGGAAAAAGTGAAATTCATTTTTGTTGGACTTGCACACTGAAACCTTTGTTTATGGTAGTACAAGCAGAGAACTTAGTTCAACATATTAGCGAGCTTAACTTCTTTATCTTAAGTCTTTACCTTAATGTACATCTCCTGTACTCTTGTAATTAACTTCATCTCTGTTTAGAAACACTTCTTTTTGTTTGAGATATATTTTTGTATACTTGCTTCTGTGCTTAGCATTGCTTTGTATATAAAGTGTGAAATCTAACTTCTCAGTCTGAGAGAACTGGGACAGGTAAGGAATATGGGACTGCTTTGAGAAGTAATCTGGGGCAGAGGACAGTGCGCTGTAGTCTACAAGACCAGGCTAAAATAGTGCCCTTAGAGCAATATTCTGCATGAATAGAGAAATCTTTCTAGGTAACTCTGGGGACACTTGTACCTCTGCTAGATACTTTTAAGATTAAAATCTACAGTGTTACGTCTGTGTTTGCGGAGTTATCTGTAGATGATAATCTTGAGGTTAAAAATGTGCCTTTGTCCAGGGAAAACAAAACACAAGTTTCGAACTGGTACACAAGCATAGCAGGAATACTATTAAATGAGTATGCGGTAACTGTACTGAAACCTGTCTCTTCACTAGGAGAACCTGACCATGTAAAGATTGAGCCGTGTAATGGTATTACTGTCTTGAACTCGGTGGGCCACTGAAATTATATTTGTATTTTGATTTCTTATCTTCTGGTCTTTACTTTGGTTAATACGCTTAAGTATGCAAATCTGTATCAGATGACTAAATATAAAGTGAATATGCAGGACATACTTTCACCCGACTTTGCTATGTTAGTGAAATCTTAACAGGATGTGTTGGCTGTTGTGTTGCAGCTGCTTGTAGTGCCAGACTGACTAGGCAGCTGGGTTAGAATGTGGCTATTGCCCAAATCAGTATTATGTCTATAAATAGGAGAATTCCATGGAAATAGGCAAGATGCTTGCGTTTCCCAAAGGACTGAATATGCTACTTCTATAATGTGGCTGACCATAAGAATCAGAGCAGTATTAACAGAAGAGAGAAATTTGTGTGTTAAAATGTCGGGATTAATGATTTTCAAATGCATTGTTTCTTATATGGATTGTTTTTAATGGTATTTGTTATATTTAGCCATATCCAGAAGATCCAGCAGTGTACAAACCACTCTCCCAGGAAGAGCTGCAAAGGATAAAAAATGAAAAGAAACAGAAACAAAATGAGAGGAAACAGAAGATATCAGAGAATCGCAAACATTTGGCCAGTGTACGGGTTGTACAGAAGAACCTTGTCTTTGTGGTAGGGCTATCTCAGCGCCTAGCAGATCCAGAGGTGAGTTTTTTTTAGATTTTGCTCTTGCCGCACTGTCAGGGCACACTTGTGCCCACCCGTGTCTGTCTCCCTGATGGGTACAAAATGAAGCAGCGTTGTAAAGGTTCACTGCTGCTGAGACCCCCTCTTAAGGGAACCCACTCAGCTTCCTCCTCCAAAATAACCTCAATAAGTGTTGATGTCTTTGCTTTTGGGAGTACGGATGCTCTATTTTTTTGTTAAGGAAATTGTTCTTTGTATTTGTTTAAAAATGGCTTGTTGTGAAGCTAAAAATAAGCTTAAGGATTTTTTTAAATGCTCATTTTCCTAGGCTGGATCTGGTGGTACTATACAGCTGTGTCACGCACCACCAATTCTAAAGCGGGAGCTTGGTTGGATTATAAAGTACAAATATAAAGCGTAGCACAGACCTGTAGGGGCAGAAGAAAAAAGCTAATACTTGAAGTGTAACTAGGCAGGAGCATGAGGGTGATGTCAGTTGAGGGGAAAAAAATTAGTAAGAAGGAGACCTCAGAAATGGTTGGCTTGCTACTCTGCATCATCAAAAAGAAGCTTTTTATTTGAGAAAACCGGTTGTGTTTAAAATGTTTTGTTTACTTCCATCATCAGGCAGCTGCAGGTGGCTAATGGAATTAGTGCTAATGAATAAAAGTACCTTGAATTAGAATATGAAGGGAAGGTACTACAGGATAAGATAGATGTCTTCAAAACTGCTGTGCTAAGTTAAATTCATCTGACCAGACCAAATTGTCTGGAGAAATCTCAAATAGAAGTGACTGTTTCTGAGGACTTGCAAGAGTATGAGCTGCATTTTGGTAGTCTGGGAAAGAACAAATGTAAAAAGCTGGTTTTAATGGAGGGGGAAAAGAGGGGGGGGATATGAAGGGAAGAGAAAAAAAAGTTTAACTGATCTGGCATATAACACTTCACTTTCTACAAGAATATAGCAACAAGTATTTGCAAGCAACTGTCAACGCTGGTTTGGTGATATTTATTACCGAAAAAGTATTCTGTTTCTTTTACTAGGCAGAGGATTTGTGAGTAAGAGAAATAATGGTGTATATATAGTGAATTTTTTTAGCCTCATGATTCCACACTGAATACTTGAAGTAATTAGTGAGTTTATTGGTGTAGTAAGGAGGGGGGGTGGGGGGAGTTGTTCTAGGTTTGGTGGTAGCAGTATTGTCACTGATGCAGCAGAAGATAATATATGCTTACTGGATATTGCATATAGCACCAAGATGACTTGATTTCCAAGAAACTTAGCCTGAAAGAGAGAGATGGGCTAAAAAAAATGACATTCAATATATTCAATTTAAGTTTTCTGCTTAAGCAAGCAAACAACTCCTGCACAAATAAAGATGATTTAGAAGGGGGGATCGGCTGTTTCTGGAAATAGATCTGTGGATCATAGTGGAGTACAGGTGGATCCCCTTGTGTTGACATGCTCTTGTGAAAATTGTGAATGCCATGCTGCTGTATCTTATCAGGAGTGTAATATGCAAAACACTTGAAGAAATTTCCACTTTACTCAAGATTGTCAGTCTCCTCTGGAATGATGCCCAAGGGTGGGTGTAGTGTCTTTCAAGAGGGTGTAGGTCAAATGAAGAGCAGTTAGAAGAGACCAGTGAGTGACTGGTGGTCTCTGCAACATGCCCTGTAGTTCTATAGGGTGTTCCAAATGTGATTAATGCTGTTAGATCTTGAAGACATTGATACTCTCTTGAGAAGGGAGAGGAGGTGGTTAGGTAAACGAAGTTCTTGGATCAGTACAGTTTAACTGTAGTATCCAGTGTTAATATATAGATGGAGCTGGGAAACAAATCTTCCCTTTTTAACCTCTCTGGTTATTGTCTAGAACTAGAAATACCCTTAGCTTACTAGCTTCAGTCTGAGTAGTCCATACTTCTGCACCTTTTTCCATCACGGGGATAGAAAAAGAAAGGCTTTTGGTACCAAATGTGTCCGATACATTGGCAGTTCGGTAGGCACACAGGTAACAGCTATTCAGAGTTGCTTAATAGGCTAGAAATGTTTCTGCTTTGCACAGGATCCCCAGATGGTGTGTTGGCCTTCGCTGCATCAGTTATTACTAAGATAGGAGTGTTTCGTTTGTTTTTGTTTTTTTCTTCAGGGATGTGATATTCACTCACTCATTTCAGCATGATGTTGATTCTGAAACATTTTTTCTTGCCCCTGGGAAGTGTCATTATATTGTGTTCCTGTCTGGTCTTCTGAAAACTTGAGGCTATCTCAAGCTAATTGGTTTACTCTCTTTCTCTTTGGAGTGGGGTGAGGGAGGCAGAATTCAACGTTTTGCTCCTAGCATTTAATATATCTGAATGCAAATTTAAGGGTGTTATGTATTTTAAAACAGGAATGAATGTAATTTTTATTTTTTCCTCAAGTTATAAAATAGATACATACAGGAATATTTCATACTGAATGGGATGTATCTTGCCAGGGTAGGGTTTGAGTAATCTGAGTACCAAAAGAAACTTAAAAAAATGCACCATAAAATGTGGAATATCCCTCATTTAAGTTCTTTACTGCAGTGGCAATGTACTCTATTGCAAGTAACCATATTTTACATTGGAAAACAAATCTAAACCTACATACTCTCTTCCTCTTTTTAGGAGACCTGTTTTTTGTTAAAGACTTTAGTTGCACAGTTACACACAAGAATAAGTCCAACTCTGTAGGAATTAACTTTTCAGTATACCACTTTGAATTCCTTTTCTTCTAGGTTTTGAAACGACCAGAATATTTTGGGAAGTTCGGTAAAATACATAAAGTTGTCATTAATAACAGCACATCGTATGCAGGCTCACAGGTAAGTCTGGGGCTCCCTATTTCTGATTAAGCAGTAGGTTAGAGAAGTAAAAAAACAAAACAAACAAAAAAAACCCAAATAAACCCCTCCCCAAAACCAAACAAAAAAAACACCAAAAAAAACCACAAACCAACCAAACAAAAAAACCAGCATTGCAAAAATCAAATTACTGTTAAGTTACTGAGACATTGCCCAGCCAGACTCTCAGTTGGATGCAAGATGCAATGTAGAAAGATTAAAAACTGGGAGACAGGATGAGAACCTTCAAAGAAGCAGCAATGTGGCATTTATTCACTAATCTGCATTTAAGGGATAAAATGACTTTAATTAGGTATTTTTAGAACTTTCAAGCAACATCTTGATGCATTTCTTCTTTTCCCCATTCTTTATGCATCGCATCTAAATTTTTATGATTTCTACCATTTTTGTCAGTTTTCCTGTTAAAAACATCTAGCTGTGAATATACCAGTTTATGAAGTCAGCTGCTTAAAAAGGCAATGTAATGTTCATATCTGGGGGAGAAAAAAAATAAATATGGTATGTTTTCTTTCTAGGGTCCAAGTGCCAGTGCATATGTAACTTACATCCGGTCAGAAGATGCTCTCAGAGCCATACAGTGTGTCAATAACGTGGTGGTAGACGGCAGAACACTTAAGGTGACAATATTTTTATATTCTTAAGTATATGCGCTAGGACACTAATATCAGTGCATAGTACAAAATTTTATTTGTATGGATATGCTCGTGTTGATGAACAGAAATGTCCAGTTTATTGAGTATTGGATTTTGACCTATTTTCCTAGCATTAATTCCAATGTGGAAGTTCAGTGAGCTTCCAGCAGGCAATGTCTTAGGGGGTTGGCAGGTAACTTCTTAAATCAAAAGTTTGGGACAAAGAAAGAGATGTACCACCTCCCCCTTCCCACAGTGGCTTTTTTGCTGTATAGCTTAATAGCACAGTGTGGAAACCTGATTATTTGCTTTTACAGAGCATTTCTGCAGTCCAAAGACCTTTCAAAAGCTCCCTGGGAAATGCAAGTTTTTTCCTTTTGGTATCTGTTTAAACAGGTGTTCAGGCTGACTTGGCCAAATTGGTGGCTATAGAAAATCATCTAGTTAATATTCATTTCCTGACCCTTCTACAAAGCATTAACCAGTTGCATGTAATACAAACTCATAACTACTTATTTGGCTTCTTAGGATTATAAATGCAAATATTTACTGAGGCTCTTACTTTGGTGTTTATTTAGATTGGATGAAAATAGAAATACATCCTAATTATCTAATCCTCAAGTATATAGATTTCCTACAAATGACTTCCTAGTCCATCAGCATTAAAAAAATGCATTATGATGGAACTTCAAATCTTAGGAAGGATTTATTTTTTTTTTTACAAATACAGCTTATTTTTCTTATACTGTAAAAGGCTTTCTTAACCTCCGGTACTTAAATAATGATTGTTTTTTTTTTCTTCAGGCATCATTAGGTACAACGAAATATTGCAGTTATTTTCTAAAAAATATGCAGTGTCCAAAACCAGACTGCATGTATCTACATGAGCTGGGAGATGAAGCAGCCAGTTTCACAAAAGAGGAAATGCAGGTAAGTGTACTGAATGGGAAACACACGAAATGTGGCATGTATGTATTTTACTGTATATAGTTTAGTCTAATATGTGTATAGTGTAGCCTTTTGCTGAATGTTACAGCAGAGATAAATTTTGGAATCCAAAAGACGATTAACCATTTGGATATTGGAAGTGAACAGTTAATTTTTTTAATTGCGTGCTGCTTTTAAGGGCTGAAAAATCCACTGAGTGTTCATGAGTTCAGAAAGATGGAGATAAACTCCTAGCCAAGGATTCAAATAATCTTGAGTTAGCTACTTACCCTTTGTTCATACCAGTACAAGGTAACGTATGTTATTTTAAATCTCTGTGAAAGAAACTAGTGCAGATCTGGATTTTCCTGTAGTTTTGGGGGGGGAGGGGGCAGTTATCATGGCTTAATTATTGTACTGTGATTTGACCATGCTATCTGAATTCTGATACCTCCTTAAGCCTGTGAAGGGTGTAGAAACCATTTGGAAATAAAACATTGAGGGTGACTGTAACAGAGCATAAATACTGATGCAGGGAGTTTTTTTACTATCTCGGCATCAAAATGCTTATTATCTAGGGTAGGGAAGCAAGGAAATGGATAGCTTTACCTTCTCAAAGGTGGTGCATTCTGAGGTCTTTTGTATGTAGATCTGTCCCTCTACGTGAGGTATGGTAAAGCTTTTAAACTCAATCTCAATATGCCAGCCTTGCATCCATGCTGTAATTTTTGCATGTGGTCTGTCCATGAAGCAGGCGGTCCCCACCCCTACTGCTAGTGCAAATGTTGTACAAGTCCATTTTATTCCTTATGTTAGGCTGATGTAAGCCAGAGACTAAGGAAGAATGTCCATGTCTATTAAACATTTTTTCCACAAGTTAGTAGTTATTTCTGAGGATTTCAGCTACATGTTCATAAATCTAAAAAAATGCCCTGCTGTTTCAGAGGAATGGTCCCTGTATTATATACTTTTTTACAGATAATGGCAATAGGAGGTAAAATTCAAGGAGAACTTGCAAACCAGGCCACCTTCCCTGTTCAGTTAGTTCCCTGTATTTTTCCCACCACCTAGATCTGTTATGTTATACATGTTTGAGAGTATATTCCTGTCTAGGCTTTTTAGGTTTTTTTTATAGAGCTGTCAGGCACGAATTTATTTAATCCATTTTGAACCTGCTGATACTATCAACCCTGTAGACTTTTGTGGCAGCAAGACCCAGAAGTTGACCACCTGTTCTGTGAAGTGCTTTGTTTTGCCTGTGTTAAACTGATCTCCAGTTAGTTTTGTCACGTGTCCCCTAAACTTAGCGTAGTACTTGCTGAAAGCAAAACCCTTACTCACCTTATCCATTGCCTTTGTGATGTTGTAAAACTTGATCTTATCTCTCTCAGCCTTCTCTCCAAAGCACACAGTTTCTGGGCATTTCAACTTCTTTGTAAAGCAGTTCCTCCCTTTCTGTGATAATTTCTGTTGCCCTTCTCTGTACCTTCTAACGGTGTCCTCCTTGAGATGCAGAGGTCAGACACATCATACTCATGATGTGGGGGAAGCAGAGTACAATATAGCAGTCCTCAGTGTTTTGTGTGTAGTGTGGTGTGGGGGTTTTTTGGTGTATTTTTTCTTTAAGTGGTCTTCCTAATGATGCTCAGCACATTTTTTTGTTTGACAGTGCATAATCAACTAACGATTTCGGAGATCTGTTGGCAGTAACCTCAGTATCTCCTCTCTGAACTGTAACAGCGAGTTCACGGATCAATAGAGCATTAGTATGGTCTAGGCTACTTTTCCCTTGCTGTGTTACCTGACATGTCTCTGGTGAAGCTTATTTGCCACTTTTTTGCCTGTTTGCCAAGCTCTCTGGGGTTCTTTTGGAGTTCCTCATTATCAGCATGACAGTTTACTACCCGAAGAGCTTGGTATTGTCAGCAAAGAAGTTGCTGTTCGCTCCATTCTCATGCATGTTGGTGGTGTTGCATAAAACTGATGCCAGTCATTGATCCTCATCACTTGCTTGTGCACTCTAAAAGAGTGACCAGTAAGTCTTAACTTTGCCTTTCTATCTTTGAACCAACATCAATCCACACAAGGACCTTTCCTCTGTCCCAGGGCAGCTTTGTAAATAATTTCTGATGTGAAACCTTACCGAAGGCTTTTTTGAAAGCTTTGTGGATCCTCTTTATGCTTATTGACACTATCATAAAATTCCATCATGTTAGTGAAGTAGGATTCCCCTTTACAGAAGATGTTCAGGTTCATTCCCAGCAGATTGTGCTTATCCTTGAACTTTTTTTAATTTTTTTTTTTTAAGGTAGACTTTATAATCTTAGGAAGGACGTTGTACTTAGCAGCCTGTAGTTCACAGGATCTTTTCTACAGTGCTTTTTGTAGAAGGCAATGGCAATCTGTCAGTCCTCTGGCCTAACTGGCAGTTATAATTGATAAGCTACATACCTTGACCAGGAGTTCAGTTTCACATATGAGTTCCTTCAGAAGTCTTGAGTGGATTATACGTGATCTTGCTGATGTCAATAAATCTTCCTTTCCTGTTCCTTGTTACATTCCTTAAACTTTCTTCTTGGTTTCATACTGCTTTCTTGGAAATCATTGGAAATTACACAACTATTGAAAAGTGCATTGTGCTTTCAGTGCACCAGCTTTCTGGAGTTTGGGTTCGTGTCAATGAATTTACAGATTCATTTAATGGGATTTGAATGTTCATTGTCATGGAGCTTGATTCTCTATTTAAAAAAATTAAAATTGTCAATGGATGACCTTACATTCTGGGTTCAATAATTGTTAATGGATCCAAACATTGTGACAAACTTAAAAGAGCTGGTAGAACTCCAGGAAGTCTTTGAAAATTGGGAATTTAGGTAAGGTAGGCTGGAGATGCTAAGTTTGGCCTCTGGATTGCTTGTTATAAATAAAGCACAATTATTGCCAACTCCTATATAAGGTCTTGTTTCTTTCTTACATGTATGTGACAGGTAGGTGAGCTTAGGACTGGCCTGTTGTTCTTGATGATGACGTTCAGTCTTTTACCACTGAAGTCTTAAGCAAGATGAGATATCCAGGGAGGTTTCTTCTTACTCAGCTGCTTAATGTTTGCAGTGCAGATCTGTGCACCTGAGCTCACTGCTTACATTCTATTCATAGTGGATGGCGAAAGAATCATTTCCAGGGTGCAGTGTATCTCAAAGTTTGCATTTAGGTGAACCATACTCTAGAACCATACTTTTTTCTACTGTAGGTAGTAGCTTGGGTGTAGACACTGACAAAGTTGGGTAAGATGATGCATACACCAGTTGTTTCAATGTCTTTTTTGACTGTTGTATAGATGGACTACATAGAGAAAGAGAGGTTCAGAATCAACCAGTAATTGGAGAACTGGAGAATTTGGTAGCAAAAAAATGGAGATATTTATAGTGTTTGACTGACTTGGAGTATTCAAATGGGATATGCAGTTGCCCTTCTAAAAGAACCCATAAGGGAATTTAGTTTCTCAGCAGTGCTTTTTTTTGAATTTTTGTCCAAAATTCCTGTTAGTTTGGTTTTTTTTTAAAAAACAAGTAATAGTTTTCTTTTGGGTCATAATATTTTTCTAGGAAGATGTCCACATTACCTGTGCATCAGTTCCATTTCTGTTCCAACAAAACATTTATAAAGGGAGTGAAATAAGTAATGTACAAATGTTAATTTTTAGGTGTACAAGTGGTGTGAGAGAGCTTTTAATTAAATACTGAAGATGTGATAAATAATAACATATGTGTTCCAGAGTTAAGATTCAGAAGGCCTGACCATAAGTCTTGGCACTTCATTCCTTTGCTAAGAGACATCTCTTAGTATCTGGAAACTCTAGATAAAAGCTGTCGACAGCTTCAAATTCACTGTTCTATTTTGCGTCCTGATTCAACTCTTTACAATATGTAACTTGCAAATAGTAATTCTTTGGTTGGAGTGGTATAACACCCTACAAAAAATGTGAATGCTCGTCTTGAAGTTTTTTTCAGATGTCACTTTAAATGTTGGGGAGGGGAGTGGATCTTGCTGGTTTTGTTTTGAATATGTAGCCACAAAATCTTATAGATAAGCTACACTGAAAAATACTTTCTTCCGTCACTCACCAGATTCAGTATTCTGGAGTTGGGTTGGGCCTCCTCAATTTCTGAAAGCAAGAAATTGTTCTTAATTAATTTGATTAGTTAAAAGAATAATTCGATTTTTTGGTTATTTAAAAGAATGATTTATCAATTATTGCTCAGAATATACTCCTTGTCACGTGATAGTTAACACTCAGACCACCTCAGCTGTTTTCATTACGGCAATACAAAATGGCTTCCATTTTGGAACTTTTTGTTTAAGAGACTGTCTTTGTTCCTTCCCATCTTCTGAAAAGCTTAGTATGGTTGATACGTCAAATGCAGACTGCCTTGGAGATTTAGCTGTTTGTGATTCAGAAGGTATATTGTGAAGGTCTTGATTAGAACTGGAGAGCAAGTTCCAATAAGGCTGTAACTTTTTCTGCTTTAGAAGTCTCAAATTATAAATTGGTCAGTACATGCAAGTGATTTCTAGGCAAGCTTTAGGTTCGTTGATCTCACATCTGTGCTGAGACTGAGAAGCACGGTTTTGAGTTTGTCAGGAGTGACCTGTTAAGTTGTTAAAGCTCAGTTACTAAGCTTTGGGGTGTACATACGTACATTTACATATAAAAATATTTTTTAGAGCTATGAAATGCATATTAAACCAGTATTCATTCATTGTGAGTTTCTCTTTCCTTAGGCGGGTAAGCACCAGGAATATGAACAGAAACTACTGCAAGAATTATACAAACTAAACCCCAACTTTCTCCAGTTATCTACGGGTACAGTTGACAAGAACAAGAACAAAGTGACAGCACTGCAGAGGTACGATGCGTAAGTACTGATGCTGGAATGCCTGGCTGTGCTTCCTTTCTAGTTATTCCCAAGGAAAACTTTTTCTTAATGCTATTGCATCCCCTGAATTGCCTGCTCTCTTTAGTGGCTGTTACATGATAAACACTGATACTGGTTTTCTCCGTGCAGAGACACGCAACGCTTTGTTCCAATACAAAGTGAGTGTGAGTCTTACTAAATAAGGAAATGGGTTTTTGCCATGTGCATTTGGATCACTAGTTCAGAAGGAGGTATTTTTATTCTGAAAGAAGACCTTGTATTTTATATTTGCGTAAACACATAACATTTATTAAAGACCAGATGTCAGCTTTCTTGGTATGGTGTCATGATGAATGCAGTCCGTACTCTCACAACTGAGACACCTTATAGTCTTGGTACGTGTTTTTTATTGTCTTTTACATCATGATTTATAGTGCAGTCCTTACATCAGGTGCAAAGGCCTTGGGAACTGAAAGTAAAATCCATTTCTTTTGTGTGGGTAAGAATTCACAAGATGTGAATAAAAAATTTCTTGCTTTCATCTAGTAAACTTAAATGATATATTTTTCACTGTGTTGTGATATCTGCAGTTACTTATTGCTGCTTGTAAAAATAATATTCTGTTGAAGTAGATAGTTCAGTAAGTTATGAAGAGATTTCTGTCCATATGAGTACATAGTCACACAAAGCTAAATGTAGGCCTAAGGTCATCAGTCCTTATCTGAATTATCCACTCAAATCATGTCATACTCAAGATAAAGAAAGAAAAACTATTAACTATTTCCTCCACTCTTTTTTGTAGGATTTTCATAATGAGATGGGCAGAGTGGAATGTAAAAGTTAGATTGCACTTCTATGCACCTTAACCTTGTAATCAGGGTTTGTGTGCTGTGCCAGTTTATTCACTACTGAATTTTTCAGACAGTAATCTGCCACTGGCCACATCACTGCGCAGCAGTTTAAGCAAGAAAGAGGGTACTGTATCTAAAATATTGCCAATGAAGCTTGAGTAAGCAGAATATAATTCCGAGAACCTGTATCCCAGCTGGTGTACTGGGATTATTTAACTGCTGGAGGAAGTGTCATATGCTCTTTGACTGCAAGCGGTTGGACCTCCGCTTGGATCTTTTCTTAAGGACTGTGCCACTTCTTTCTTGGGCACTGCTTCAGTATTGACTTGGAAGGTAGGGTGCAGCAAGTAAAGCAAATACACCACTTCCTGCCTTTGGGTATTGATTATTTTATGTTCAAAGTCTGAATGAATCTTAATTTGAAACCTAATTAGATCCCAACAAAACAAACGATACCAGTGAGGAAAGAACGCTCTGTCTGAAACGGCAGCGAACTTCTAAGCCTTCAGAAAGCAATTGTGAATTGGAGCTTGGCCAGCCTGTGGTGCTCATGTTTTGGCAGTTCTGGAAAACATGGCATGTTACTCTAAAGGCAACAAGTGATCTGGAGTTAATTTCTCTTGTGAGCTGAACAACATCATCACAACACAGACCCTGTTCTTTGCTGATGGCTAGGTACCACCTTTTGGGTTGCAAAGCGAATTTCTTGCAGCTGGGATTTTGAAGTGTTTCTTCAAGTCGTGTCTCATCAGTACAAAATGTAGCTTGGGAGCTGGTGAATGTGTGGTGTTCACCTTCACAGCTTTCTACCCAGTCAGGTTCTCGTTTTTGTGTGATTCATTGATACAATATTAATATTTCTGGCAGTTTGTCGGAGCCTCTGACAATTTTGTGGTGGTTCTTGTGTTTCTGGGATGCAGGATTTCTCTTTCACTCTGGAATTGAACAGAAGTTGAGTTCTAAATAGTAGATGTTTAATTACAAATATCCAGTAGTAGAAAACAGTTTCTTAAACTGTGCATAAATGCTTTTTCACAGTTGTGTTGTAATTTGAAAGATCCTACTCGCGAAACTTTTTTCTTGCTGCTGGAGGCAAATGTTAAAATCCCCCAGTGCCGCTTTGCGTGTGTGGGTACTCGTCTCTTGTTACATCACCTGATAGTCATGGTGACTCTCTTACAATTAGAGGTATATCCTACATTTAAAACAGATCAAGCTCTTCCCCACCTGCCCTGACTTTTTCCTAAAGAACTGAAATGAATGCCTTCTTATGCTACAAGTGGAAATACTTGTTAAGCACTTGCAGGTTTTCTAGAGAACAACCCTTTAGAAGCATGCAGCTTTGCGCGTGTGGCTTTTTTTTGTTTAAGTTCAAAAAACCACACCAAAACGCAAACCAGTTTCTTTCTCTTTACCGTTCTCCTTGGATGCAAACCTGACTTTTTAACTGTAAAATTTTAAAGTTAGTTTTAGTATAGAGATGGCTTTGCAGTGCAGCAGACTTAAAATTTGGTATTTAAAATAAATCTGTTAATGGATTGAAAGTCTTGTTATATCTAGATTACAGCTCATTTTTGTAAGGGTGAGAATATTGAATGACTGACATTGCGCTGATGATGATGTGTCTTCATTCCTTGATGTTCAATATCTTACCAACTCGCTATCTCTAACTTAACTTCAAATGTGTACAAAGCAAAGATAAGATCTGTAAATCAGGTCAAGACTCTCATCTGTGTACCTATGGTATAGGTATATGAGAAAAGATGGAGGTAGAATAGCAAATCTTAAAATAGTAACTGAGATTTGAGGGTAGCGAGTGATACCAATTTTGTCTGAATAGGAGTAGAAAACACTTGTGTTGCTATAAGTAGCTGTAGGAATTTCTGGATTCTGACTGTGAACTTACTAAATTGACCTAGAGAGTTGGAGTAAATGTTGGACCATGTAATAAGAACATATTAATGAAGGGGGGCATCAGAAGGAACATATGTATTTAAAAACTTTTTTTTGAGTGTTTGCTCCTTATGAAGACAGCACTTGGACACTAAACCCAGCATCCTAATTGAAGCAAATGAAAAGCTAAAGTTAATATTAAATCACTAGAGAACACTAAAGCAAATCTTTTATAGTAAGATTGTAGGGTTAGTGGACAACACTATCTGAACGCTTTCAGTTATAGATGATATTCGAGCTCGCTTCAATTTGTATAAAATGTAGCTAATTTCAGCAAAAACTTGGGCTTTGAGTCTTGTCTTGAACTTCTTTCAGATCTAATATGCACTCTGAAATGAAATTTAATGTTACTTTATAAGAGGGAAGTAATTAGGGCTTTAAACTAGAAATGAAGTGAGCAGTAACTTGAGCACTGTTTTGGTCTGACTGGTCTCATGGTCTGTTAGTAAAGCTGTGGACTCTTGTGTAGGCGTAAAACACAAACTTCATCTGCTGGGGCCAGGCTTGACAGGGCCTGGAATATAAAACATTTCTTAAAAAAAGGATTTAGTTCATGGTTTATGGAACTTACAAATACTTATGGGATAAAGCAAATAATTCTAAATGAGGTGTGTGTAGGTCTGGATACTTGAAGCTGTTGATGGATTTTCTTTTTTTCTTTTTTTTTTAATTTTTTTTTCCTCACCCCCAAAATGGACAAGTTTGGACTTCAGCGTTGGCAGAGCAGCTGTCTATTTAGTGAAGAAAACAGAATTCCCCCCAGTTTTCTCTGTCACCTCCCTATCCTACTAATTCTTTTTTGAAGTCATCACCATTTAAAATCTGAGAAATAATATCCAGATAAATCTATTCTTATGGATTGTCTGGCACAAGGATTCGTTTCCCCAGTGCTTACAATTTTTAAAAACACTTTCTTCATAACTTGAACTCTTTTTTATTTTTTTATTTTTTTTTTTACTCTTGCCTTTTTCCAGACCCAACAGTAATAACAAAGATGCCTGGCCATCATTACAGAGTTCAAGTAGATCAGCCAACGGTTTAACAATGGAACACAGGAAAACGCCTCCTATATTAGAAAATGGCACAGACCCAGAACACATGACTCCAGATGGTGCAGACTCAGATTTCGGGTAATTGTGCTGCCTTTTATACTTCAGATAGCTTGCTTTCTCTCTCACTGATTGGTGTGGAGGGAATGATTCTCCAGTCTTTCTCTCTGGTTGGAGAGCTGGATTCAAATCCTGGTCAGGTCACAAAAAGCTGGGTTTGGCCTAGCCTGTGTCAAAAAGACTGATTGGCAGATTGCACGGGAGAGCCTTACCGTGAAGTTAGTAGGTGATGGTACAGGTAAGGGCTGAGGGGAACTGAATAACCGGAGACCAACAGCTTGTATAGCTGCATGGTCCCAGCCAGAGCTGAGCCCTTCCTTTCTATCCAGAACCTTCCACAAAAGTAAAATGCTAGGTGTTATACATCAGGAGGCTTGTCACTTTGAAAAGCTTCAACAGAAGGAGGGTAAATATTAGGACCGAATGCCTGTCATCTTTTTAGTGGTGTGTTCCAAAAACACAACTGCAGAGGTAAGGGATCCCTGATTATCACTCAGTAACTGGAACAACGGGGCAGCAGATTCAACTGAGGCTTCTTGGTGCAGAGAAAGTAATTCATCTGCTTGCAGTAATTTCCTTATTGCTGACCAACATTTTTTCCTGTTTTGGTGCCCTCCTTGAATAGAACTGGTGTCCTCCATCATAAGCATCACTTGCAATTCCGATGGTAGTATGTGATTGTGCTGTTTTGGTTTTTATGGACCTCCTTAGGTAATATTGGTTGGGCTCATTCCGAGCTTGGATTGGAAAACAACAAGGTAAACCCTAATATTTCAAGAAGTGCTGTTGCCAGTTAGGTAGCTGATCTTCATTTTAAATCAATATTGAACTGATGCATGAACATTGTGAGTGCTGTTTGAAAGTGGTACCTTCTTGTTAGGCTTAATAGCAGTCCCGTTGAGGTGTGATCCGAGGTCCTGCGGTTGCATTTCAGTAGTGACATGCAGCTTCCTCCTTTACCCTTTCTGAAAAGAAAGTACTAAATGTAGATAAAAATACTGTAGCCAATAGATAATGAATCTTGTTCCTTCCTGAGGCCTGGAAGGCTGTCTCGCAATTAAAGGCTCCTTAGGCAGGTTCAAGTATAATAAACACTTTCAGCACTTAAGTTGTCATTAAAAGTTGTCTTACACATAGCTTTTTAAACTGCAGCATTGTGACATTCTGTCAGCAGCTTTCAGAGATGACTTTGGCTGGAATATCAGCTCTACAATTAGAACGATCGCTCAGTGAAGAGTCTACAGCAAACTTTTATGCTATAGGTATTCAGAAATCACTACGCTAAGGCAGTTTGTTCCAAATGGAAGAACTTTATTCATGCTGTTTGACCACTGAGTAGAAAGTATTTGTAAATCTACTGGAGTAATGCTTGTTTGCAAGTCTATTCCTCTGATTTTTTTCTTTTGTAGTCATAAATACTTCAGTTATCTTTTTGAGATACCGACTCAATCAGTGTTTCTTTGCACAAAAATTGTTGTTATTGATGGATTACTCTTACACAGTTTCTTTAGAATGGAGAAGAATCAATTCTGCTGGGTTTTGACTGTAGTTATTCTGGGATAGGGAGAATGAATATGGGGGGGAAGCAATGTTACGAATTTTTGACTTTGATATGTGGCTCTATGCAATGTTTACACTTTGCAGCAGCGAGGGGTGTTTGAAAACAAGGTGTAAGCTAGAATCTGAAGTCTGCACCTGGTTAAAATAATTGCTCTCTATATATTTGTCTTGTGCTAACACATCATGCCTGTAATTTGACTTGTATCACATTCTGGCCTCTTAATGGAGCTGAAATTCATGTTCTTACTTCTGGTCCTTGTTTATAGGACTGGTGTTTTGGGCTGTGTGACCTGATGCTGGTGCATCTTCTCTTATGGGCAGATAAAAATGAAAGTACCTTGAAGCTGTAAAGCAGAGATTTTAATCTGAATTGGACCTAATACCGTTTCCTTAGTGTGGTATATAGCATAATGAAGGCAACTCACAGATGCCTGTCAGAATCTTGAATCCCGAGATGTGCCATTTCAGCCAAGTCATGTTAATTCCCAGTGAATAGCTTTCTGAGCTGGTTTTCTGCTGTATCTTATCTTTTAGTCTCTTTATGTTTGTTGGCAGTTTTTATTGCTGTGTCTTTTCCTGCGTTTTTCCCCTTCTGTCATCTCGAAACTTGGTTTTCTTAACCTTGGAACTAATTTCAGCTAGTTAAAGCTTGAAGGCTGGTGGAAAGCTTAACTTCCCACTGGAACTAAATGGTTAATTTAATCTTTTATTTCTCCTCAGATTTATTGGGGACTTGTATGGGAGCTGACAACTTAGGTATTTGGAAAGCGAATCTGTTCCCAGTTTCTCTGAAGTAGTAGCATACATGGAACTGACTACTATGGAATACTGCCATAGTACAAGAGTCCTGTTTTTTTGAATGGCATAGAGTTACTGTGAACATGTTTAAAACTTTTCTTTTATTCCTTAACAGGGCAGTCAACAAGCAGAGCAGAGAGTGTTGGGAGCAAGTATTACAGTATATAGCAAATGATTGGAATGCTTATGATTAAAAAAGCTAGTCTCATAAATAAGTGGACATTTTTCCTTCATAATTCTTCCTAATTAATTTTGCTTTGTCTTTGTTTCAAGGCCTTTCTACCACTATGAAAGCAAATTTTGATTTTCACGTTAAATACTTGAGTGTCATATTGTCTCTTTTTTCCTCCCACTTTTGCAGCCCTATCGACAAACCTTCAGATTCCCTCAGTATAGGAAATGGTGACAGCTCCCAGCAGGTAAGAGAAAGATAAATGCTGTGTAAGTAAGAATTGAGTTTGAGGACTTTGTGCAACTTGGAGATGGAGAAACAAGTACTTTCTGAAGCGTATCATAGTTTTAAACAAAACTAAAAAATGCTCCTGCTAGGTTTTTATGTTTATTTTTGTTTGACCTTGTACTGAGCTATATATTAACTAACCTAATTGCAGCCAAAAGTTTTGAGGAAATTTTTCAACTCCTAATAGTGAAGAATATTTTATATGTAAATATTCATGTCCTAATTGTTTCTTTTCTTCTCTTGCCTGTAGATAACAAACAGTGACACACCTTCACCACCGCCTGGTTTAACAAAACCCAATCCGGTCATACCCATCAGTTCATCTAATCACAGTGCACGGTCTCCTTTTGAAGGGGCTGTAACAGAATCACAGTCGCTCTTCTCTGACAACTTTCGGCACCCTAACCCCATCCCTAGTGGGCTTCCTCCATTCCCCAGCTCTCCACAGTCTTCAAATGACTGGCCCACAGCACCAGAACCACAGAGTCTCTTCACATCAGGTATGTACACAGGTTACATGACTGGGTTTTGCTTGCTTTTGCGACTGGTGACTAAAACTGTGTAGAACGAAAAACTCCAGGACTTGCTCCATACTGTTTTTTTTCCCCACCTTCACGAATGATTAAAAATTATCCCTTCACTACAAATGAATTGCACTGACGTATGGGTTTCTTCTAAAAAACTTTACAGAGTTTTCCAGCTGCATGACTAAATTACCAGAGTGCTTATTTGAGTTTTTCTTAGCCATGTGCCTGTCTAAATAATAGGATGTGACATGTGTGCCTAATATATAATATTACAGGTTTTTATTGAGAGTGGGGAATATATATGGTGTTAGTATACATTGGTGTAATAATCTGTTATAATCTGTAATTCTAATATCAGAAACTATGCAGTGGAATTCAGAATTTTCTTTAGTATCCTGCAGAGTTATCTGAAGGTGCTTAATCTTTCTCTTCCTGGAATGAGATTATATACATTTAGAAAAGATAAAAATATGGTTAATTGCATCAACTGAAAGATACCTGTATTTTCCACGTACTTCCCTGTGAAATACCACTTTGTATGAATGAAACATCATTTTAGGTGTATTTATAGTGTCTTGGAAATGGTTAACAGTATTTAAAAGCTCACAGATTATAAATCTGAGCGAATTGTTAGAAAATTAAATGAAACAATAGCAGTAATAAATAGAATGGAGACGATACTTTAGGACACAGTTACTTTAGTGATTAGTCATCTTTTGATATTTGTCTGACTTCTGGATGTCATAATCCTGTTTGTAAACAATATTTATTACCAAGGAAATTACCTGCTGCTAAGGTACTATACACAGTGTTAGGATTGAGTAGCAGTGAGAGACAATTTCCAGGCAGTATAGATCTTGTTGGTTTCGGGATTAACATAAGATGTATGATTGTTATTTAAATAAGAATACAGACGACAGGTTTTTTTCTGTTTAGCAACTCTTTTTATCTATTGTCATGGATTTTAGAGTGAAAACAGAAGCGTAGATTTCTCCTCTAAGCGAGGATACTGAGCGTAATTTGAACTCCTTAAAGCAGCAGAGCCGGCTCCCTGCCAGCAGAGGGAGCTAATGCTGTGAGTCACACTACCTCGGACTCCTCGGCTTGCCTTGCCACGCTTTTGAGGACAAACACTGCGAAACTAGACCCAGCATTCACCGAACCCGAATGAGAAACTTAAAAAGTATAATGAAATGAAGTAGTGATTGAAAGTGCAGGGAAATGCTGATAACCCTTTTTTTTGCAACACTGCCTCAAAATATTTAACAGTGTCTTGTAATGCAGCTCCATATTTCCTTTTGTTTTATCAAGGTGTCTGCTCAAGAATTGGCTTGTTTTTCTTCATAATGATAGACGGGGAGGGGGTTGGTGTTTTTTTAACCACTGCTCGGAGGTTCCCCCTTGGAGAGGGAACATCTCCTCCCCACCTTTCTTGCAAAGCACAGCTGAAGCACAATATTAATACTGAAAGCAAAATATTGAACTGAATAACAACCTTATTTAAGCTCTGCTTGGCCACGCTTTCATCAAGTAATATGGGTGTAAAGAAGGTTCTAAGCAAGTGTGTGTTGGTCTCTTTCTACTTGGTGCTATTACTGAAAAGACTTAATTTGACAAGGCTTTTGTGTAGTTCAGGAACAGAGCAATTCTGCAGTAAAGGTCCTATCTGCTACTTCTACCACTTCACCTTAAATAGAAATCTATGGCAGTTTGATCTGAAAATGGCATTTTAAGCTGATGAATAAGGTGTCTTTGGGGAATGTGTAAAGAAGTATTATATGAAGGATAACTAGCAACATAGATTCAGATACACTGAGGCTGAAATATTTGTATGGATCAATAGTTACTAATTCTTGTTCTAAATCCTGTTCCTCTCCTCTCCGACAGAAACTATACCAGTATCCTCCTCCACAGACTGGCAAGCGGCTTTTGGGTTTGGTTCCTCCAAACAGCAAGAGGACGACTTAGGGTTTGACCCCTTTGACATCACCCGCAAAGCCTTAGCAGACCTGATTGAGAAGGAACTGTCAGTCCAAGACCAACCTTCCCTCTCGCCCACATCTCTTCAGAATCCTACCCCACACACTACAACTGCCAAAGGGCCAGGCTCTGGATTCCTGCATCCTGCTGCACCCACAAATGCCAACTCTCTCAGTAGCACCTTTCCAGTCATGCCACAGAGGTTCCCACAGTTTCAACAGCATCGAGCAGTTTACAACTCCTTCAGTTTTCCAGGCCAAGCGGCTCGCTATCCGTGGATGGCCTTCCCACGCAATAGCATCATGCACTTGAACCACACAGCAAATCCCACCTCAAATAGTAATTTCTTGGACTTGAACCTCCCACCACAACACAGCACAGGTCTGGGAGGGATCCCTATATCAGGTAGGTGAATCGGGACAGCCGTGAATATGATTTAATTCATGCTTTCAGCTTCTCTGAGCCAGGACAGGAAAAGGGAATAGCCAGCTACAAGTGGTAGAGGGATATCTCTTGACTGTCATACTAGGTTTATGAACAGAGGGAGGAATATTGTTTTAAATAGGCCCGTTCCTTTTTTTAAAAAAAAAAAATATTCTAAACATTTAGCCTTGTAATATTGAGCTTTATAAGGAAGGTGGAGTATTCTGTGCCCGCTTAATTTTGTGCCGAAGCAGATTGGTATTTTGGTTCTTCAGTATTGCCAGACTGGCTTTCTTTAAGAGTAGGTCCTGGAAGTGCCTGGTGACTTCCATGTTGACATGCAGGTGCTGACCAGAGTTCTTAAAATTGTGCAAAAAATTGTGATGATAGTAATTTGTGCCAGATGTCTTGGCTGGGTTGTTCCCTCTTGTGCATAACTGAATGGTTGCACAATAAAACATTCAATGCAGTTCATTTCTGTACTTCAGATGGCCTTAATGTTATGCTAATCTTTCACTGAATGGATGCTTACAGTGTGTGTAAGAGGATTCATCCTGATTGTGAGGTTTGTGATGTTGGAGCAAAATAAATGTGCAGTCAGGCCAGTTCGGGCTGCCCTGAATGGATTGATGGGCTCTTGCAGCAAACGTTACAAGTGTAAGGAGCTAATTGTAACAATAATTGTCTTGATTAAAAACTCACTTCTGGAGTTTGAAGTCCTTCCATGCTTCTGATGTAGCTTGACTCAGAACAGGTTCTCTTTTCATAATGGGGGAAAAAATTGTATTAAGTGTATAATGAACTGCAGGTAGAAAGCTTCTGTAAGCTCTTTGTAGCCTTGAGATGGAGAAAATTGCTTCTTGAGATGTTGCCAGTGTTACTTTCTTTTCATGGGTTTTGAGAAGTACTAGCTCTACTATAAGAAAGCGATGTAGAAAAAGTCACGGCTCTAGTACCAGAGCTAACTTTGGCTGTTACTTCAGTGTCCTTTCTCCCCTTTGAAGGCTTGTTGCAGCTACTGTACTGCTGTAGGGTCCTTAGGCTGATCCATAGTACGAATGCTTGGTCCAGACTACAAATGCAAGTAGTTCAAAACTCTTTATACTGTCAGCGGCAAAGTTTTTAGGCTGAAATGACTGATATTGGTTACACTGGGAAAAAGAAAATTTTTTGACATGGAGTCAAAAACGCAGCACCCATAGCACTGCAAATTGTTACTCACTTTCCTCTAAACTACATAGAACTTCCAGGAACATGGCAAGACATCCAGTTCTGACTTTACCACTCGGTTCTAAAAATTGCTAGGTCGAGGGGCTGGTAACAAGACTATTTTCTGGACTAGGGGGACCAGAAAAGTCCTTTAGTGTTGAAAACGATTTGTTTGTAGTAGAGGTTGACTCTAGGTTTGTGAAAGTATTCTTTAAATTGCATTACTTAGATTGCCTTTGGCAGTTTGAAAGTGGACTCTTAGTGTTTGTAGAAGACTCATAGATCCTTGGTACAACTCCCGAAGAGCCAGTTGTGTGGCGTTGGTGGTTGCACAGCCAATGCCATGTACTTCCCCCATATGTTTGAAGGCAACAGAGTTGATACTCAAGCATATCCTTTTTTGTATGCAACTGCTAGAACCAATTAATCTCAAAATATCTTTGGCAGATACAGTGCTAAAACCAGAAAATAAACATCTGCTGTAGTCTCTATGGAAAGTTCCTTTGAATTGTTCTTAATCTCATTATAGAAAACATGGTTAGTTGCCTGGCTGACAGTTAGGTAGCAGCAGTTGCTGCAGTGCAAATGCTTCTCAGCTGATCTGTATGTCAGCTTTGATATATCTTGGAAAAAGAATCCTTTGCACAAACACAGATTACTCCTTTTTCTTTTCCTGTTGTCAGAAATTAGATGAAATCTCAGATGGTTCTGGTTTTGTTTGCTGGGTTACGGATTTGTAGTATTTGTATGCTATTTGGTGCCTAGGGTTTTCTTTAGTGATCTAACCGCTTCAGAAGTATAAATAATGTGAAAGTCAGGAGATGCCCTCATACCTCTTTCTTGTGTGCTGACTTAATAGTTTCCAATGTATTGGTTATGCTGTCTTTTCAAATCCGTATCTAGTGTACAGGTCTCCCAGTGAATTCCTTTTATATTCTTTTTGAAAGAATAATTCTTGTTCTTTATGCTGTCAGTGGTAGGTATATAATTATAGAATTTTCCAAGTTTCTTCATTTGATTTACAGATACAGCTGTCTCTGGTGGGGTTGGGGGAGGAAAGTGGTGTACAAGTACAGAGAAGTCATGTCGATGGGACTTTATTACAGTGCTTTATAACAGACTCTAGCTGACCTGTTAGAAGGGCGGTGCGTATCATAATAGCCATTTAGCAGTATGGAGAGATAAGTTGTAGTATACCTGAAGTTCCTTTTTGTAAGTTCTTTTGTTTTTCTAAAACACCCTAATACAGACTATGTCATCAACTCAGCTGTTCCAAGTGTAAGAGCAAAAGAAACCTAGTGCAAATGCAACTTCACATTCTGTCTTGCAGCAAAGCCCTCAACTGCTGTCAAAGTTGCATGTTTCTTACAGTCGTTGATCACAATTTTTTACAGGATTATAACTTCCTAAAGCAGATAATACTGGACCAGTCATTTAAACAACAACAACAAAAACCCAAAGACAAACCACAACAAAAAAACCAAACCTGTTCATTTACTCTGTGCATTTGCCTGCTCTATTTAATCAACCCTTTTCAACTTTTCTATTTCATTTATGTGGAAAAAAAAAGCACATCTAAAAACTTTTATAACTTCATATGAAGTTAGTATGCTATTTTTCAGGCTTTCTAAATCCAATTTTAGTTGATTTCACTAAGCATATTTGTGGTTTGGAAGCTTATGTGAAGAAAACAGTATCTTTCAAACCGCTGCTGCTTCTGCTTTAGGTAGGCGTTAGTATTCACATGAAATTCAAATGCTCATGTGTGACATGTTAAATGTAATGTTCTGAAGTTACCTTTTGTTTAGTTGGGAATGGGAGCTGTGCTGTATTCATAATCTCACAGCTCCAGGTAGGGCTGTTTTGTGATGTGCACCAGATTTAAATGGAGGGACACGGGCACTACCTACCTGTTTCTTTTTCTTTATTTTTTTTAAGGTCTCATTTTAAAACAATTTCTGTACAGAATTTGGTAACCCGTTTCTCAGAGGAAGCAGTATTTATTAAACTCATTCTGCAGTTTCCAGTGAAATAACATGATTGACTTAATTTTATTATGCATATACTTGAAATGTGTCATTCATCAGGCGTACATTTGTCCACAACCCATATTTAAATGAACTTTTTGACTGATTCCTAAACTAGCATTTTGTTTTCCCCCCCACTGTATGATTTTGCAAACCGTAGCAGATGTTACATGTTCTCGTAAGGGACAGTTTAGGCTTGTTGCTGTTCTGTGGTGTGGGATGGATTAGATTATTTTAGTATATAATTATAACTGCATAACTGAGCTTCAGGAGAAAAGTTTCGTGACTTCTTACTCAGGGACGGCACGATTGTTGCTAAAAGCAGTCTTGCCCTAGACGGTGTGCAAGTTATCCTAAGAATGTAGGACAGTGGCCATCCTTTATTCAGCAGATAATGCCAAAGGGAAGATCCACTGACAACAACGTGGGTGGGTGTGTGCCTTTATTTTTATGTTACTTGAGGATAACAGGAAACTCTTTGTAATTTGATAGCTAATACACTATCATCTTTGCTACCTCACTGCCCCGTGGTGTGTGCTAAAATAATAGGTATAGTATTGGATCATAGAGTACAGGAGGTCTCAGATTAACAGTGTGTTTTGAGGCAGATGCTTATAAAAAGAGATGCATGCATATTAATAATGGGAAAATAGAAATACATAGCTTTATTTCTTGAGTTTACAGAGTGGTTGGTAGTCGTGGATTTGATTACATAAAAAAAGCGTAAGAACAAATTCACACAGCTAAAAGTATGAGGAAAAAGTTGTAAATGGATAGTCCACCTTTCCCTCAGTTCTGTGCAAGATGAAGTACTTGACATTTTGAAACACTGGCTATTATTTCACTTACTAATTTCAGAATTATCCTGAACAGAATTCCAAATGAGGAAAAAAACTTAACTGTAAGAACTTATCAATTCAATAGTAATGAGATAGTTTGAAATTTGAACTCTTCCAAGACAAGTGCTACACAATATTGTGTGTATATTCTTCCCAAATAAATAATTGAAACCCCTTTAGTTGGAAGGGACCCACAAGGATCATCAAGTCTAACTCCTGACTCCACACAGGGCAGCCTAAAAATTAAACCATATACGTCAGAGCATTGTCCAAATGCTTCTTGAACACAGACAGGCAATTTATGCATATCATGCATATATTAGAGATCTAAGATAGCAGAAATAGTCAAGTGGACCCATTGAAGAGACAGATAGAAAGCGCGAAGAACTAAATCCTGTTTAGGGTAGGGGAAGAAAAAAGTTTTACCCATTGTCCTTGAAGATAACCCCTGTAAAATCCATCAAGTTATTTTAGCCGTGAAGCTCATTGATGTGGAGGTTGCAGTAGACTTTTGTGAGCTGTTCCTGAAACTTCAGAACAGGGGGCTTAAATGTCATAAGTCTTTAGTTGAATATAATTGACAACTCAAAATTTTGTTCTCTCGAGACCTTTTTGTTTTGATGTTGTAACTTATATCTCTTGAATGTGCACAGCCTAATTAATGGAATTACGTATATTTAAAGATGAGGTTGAGACGGTAAATAGGTAGACAGTTCTATTAAGTTTGGGTGCCATCCAGCAGTCTTTGTGGTAGTGGTATTGCATTCCTTATCAAGACAGAGATGAGCGTGCACATTTTTGAGTCTTGCCTGCATTTAGGTTTTTGTGAAGGAAGTGCTGGTAGCAGGGAGGGTAGAGCAATGAAGATTGTATTAAGAAGGTCCAGCTTTTTCCCCCTTATTTTGAG